GTTGTCACTTTCCATTTTCGTTATATGGGTTACAATTTGGCAACGTAGCCGAAATATGGCAGAGCAGCGTGAGGTTGGGCGCGGCACACGTGACCTGGCCGCCGCACGTGGGTTTCCATGCACATGATGCTACTAAGCACCAAACATCTTCGCATTTGGCTCTACACCTGTAGGCATTAACATTTGCCTGCGAGATGCACACCCCCATGCACCGACAAAGCGCTCTTACATTCGCGTGGGGTCAATGGGCTCACGTGAGGAGTCACGTGGCGCGGCCCGTCTACCATAATTGTGGAGTTCCCTTCGCCCGCCGCCTGTCCGCCCATACACCGTTTGGGAGGCAAGCCAACTGGGCCTCGCTGGCTCGTTTGTGTGCCTTTAGATGCTTTAGGAAAATAGATAAAACAACTTTACCACTCCACAGCAGTCTTCGAAATCCGTAATGTAAAAGTTGATTAATCGCCAAGCGGTAATTTTCTTCGGAACCGACCGGCATTATCACAGTCATATGCTGGATAACAATAATGTAACGGCATGATTAATTTTGTGTCACGTTTACACTCCAAGGAACATCCCTCTTGCACGCATTATACCCTTTCACCTTTGACTCGAACGACCCCTTACGTGGGTTCCCTTGCCTCCTTGAAAGCCCACGTACCTGCTGACCCCCCCCCTTCTTTCTCTCTCTCTCTCTCTCTCTCTCTCTCTCCCTCTCTCTCTCTCTCTCTCTCTCTCTCTCTCTCTCTCTCTCTCTCTCTCTCTCTCTCTCTCTCTCTCTCTCTCTCTCTCTATCTCTGGAAGAAAAGGGTAATGTGTTCCAAATATGAAATACGGGAAAGAAAAATGAGATTCAAGAGACGTGGGAAAGATTTCATCTCCGTCCCCGCGATAATCAGCAGCGAGAGCTTCAGGCCCTTCCCGCCGGTAACTGAACGGACATAAGACACCCGCACATCTTCTCTTGAGACCTTAATTATGATGAGGCTTCAATTAATATAAATACTACTGGAAACTTGTGAGATGTAAGGGTGGACAGTCGCATCCTATCATTTTGTTTTGGACTGTCAAAGATTTCGGGATAAAAATAAAAATAGATGATCAAAAATTAAATGATCAGATATCAAGGACACATCATTTGCAATAAGTGTAACTGATCTTATTTATATGCTATATGATTCTCTTACCAGAGAAAGAGAGACGAGCAGAGAGAAAGAGAGTCAGGCAGAGACACACAGACAGACAGTAACTGCGTGAAAACGGGAGGACGAGGGAAGATAGAGAGTGAGAGAGAGCATTGTAGGGACATACCCAGGCTCCGAAGTCGTCACGTGAGAAAGGCAGACGGAGTCAGAATTAAAGAATGGAAGCCAGTTACTTGGAGGGGAGAGCGCCAGGAATGCTTGCTACCAAGCTTGGATGCGGGTTAAGATATTTATTTCGTCGAGAGCTACGGAAGTTAAGATGACGGTTGTTTGACAAGAGGAGCTATGTTCTGGTACTGCTAGTATAGCGAAGCTCTCCTTAGTCCGTTCACGGCGGCCTTACATAACAGATTCTGGAATTTCTCTCGTTAGCCCGACCGGGTAGTTGAGTGCTGGAGGGGATGGCCGTCGACAGAGCCTCGCATGACCTAGACGTCCAGCGGGAAACATTTTGATGTCTGGCATTGTCTCACTCGACTTTTATCTTTCATCTTCTGCCATTTTGTTTTCGGTTATGAGTCACGTCAGTCTATTACTTACTTTGGACCCCGACTGGGGTCTCCGTTATCGCCTTGTTGTCCACGTATTGATATATTGCTCTTGAACTTTTTTCTTGAAATTGTCTGTCACATATTTCGGCCCACTCTTCCCTTTGTCCATTCGCCGCGTGTCGTGGTATCTGTATAACTTATTCTCACAACTGAAGCAAATAGTGATAAAAGAACTGATAACTTGTTTGTCATGGCCTCGCACGCGGCGTGACCCCGTGACAAAACATATCGGCAGGGCGACCATGGCGCACAGGTTCGCACTCCGTATTATCTCATCATCCCCTTCGCTCGCCTGTTCTTACGTCAACGTGTTTCCCCTTTCGTCTACTTCCCTTCCTCTTCTTTCTATTGCTATTCGGTCGCAGTCGTCGTGATACCAATTTCAGGTTTAACTACCTTCTTCTTGTCTGGCTACACCGCGCTCCGCCGCGTGATATATAAGGAAATGACGGCGACACGTGACCCGGGCCGCTCCGTGACGTCACGATCGCTGCCACTCGACGCTGGACGCCGTGTCGCGGCTCCGCGTTCCCTCCCCTCGCGCTGCTCCCTGGGCCAGCGGCAAAACTGCACTAGTTCAACTTTCCCTTTTAGTCTTACATTGCGTTGACCAGTGTTTGATACCTATTCATAACACGGAAATGAATATCCGCCAGAGTACTTACGTACAGAATGACAGAGCGCCCCTGCCCGCTTTTCCTTCTAGAAACTTTCGATTCGGAAGATGTGGTAATGAGTCAAAGGTGGCAAAGGCGGCTGAGGGAGGGGGAGGGGGCAGAATTTCTTGGTAACCCCTTCTGAAGAAAGAGGCCGTCAGACTCCTCCAGTCTTTCATTAAATTGATAATCGCCAAGGTGCCAAATGACACGTAGGGCGATGATATACACTTCATTCAAATCTTTCGAGGCACATCATCAGATCAGGCGCTCAAGTCTGAACGTTTCTTTCTCTAACGATATGATATGTGCTTCCAATATCTGGTGATGGAGAGAATATCCAGAGGAACATGTCCACTGAAGTGTTGATTTAAAAAGTCATACACAGACCGCAAAGGTTAAATGAAGAGGCAATAGGAGTTTATGAGAAAGAGGTGGTGATGAAAGAAAGGGGAAGAAGGAGCAGAAGGGGCATGGAGGGAGAGACGTGCACCCGGCAAACGTGATGCGACCACTGAGGGCCACACATTCATGGCTGCTCCAGCCCGTCTGTCGCCCGTGACTCTCGGCGCACCTGTCTCCAGCGTGAGAAGAGGTTGTAGGAAGCAACAATAAAGGGATAAATTCACTCTCAAATGCACATTTAAGAAACTCGTCCTCACAGTCCGGAATTACGAATAGAAAGCCGCATTTTGTTCCCAGAAATCTTCTTTTCAAGTATCAGATATAGCCAGAAGCTGTTCAAACCTCATGAGAAAATCATATACGGATAAAATCATCTTCCTTCCACGTGACTAGTTGTGGGAAACTTCTCAAAAACGTGTAATTCTCGTTATAGCGACACCTTCCCTCGGCCACATTACTCCCTCAAAAGGATAGGAGAAAACAACAAATACGAGGAAACATGCCTTGGCCTGCGCTGGAACTCGGAACAAGGCTGCACGAAAGGAACGTGATTTGCTCGTGTACAGTGCGCAGTTAAGTACGTATTTCATGCATCTACCACATTTCTCTCTCTCTCTCTCTCTCTCTCTCTCTCTCTCTCTCTCTCTCTCTCTCTCTCTCTCTCTCTCTCTCTCTCTCTCTCTCTCTCTCTCTCTCTCTCTCTCTTTCTCTCTCTCTGGAGAAGCAGAAGCAATAATTAAGCAAGCACCAAGCAGGCCGCGACAGCCCTCACGCACTCGCATCGCAAGGCGCCTCGAACCCCCCCCCCTCCCTCTCCCTCCCCTCTACTATTCCGTAAAAGTAGGAATGAAGTTTGCATGGCGAGCGTAGCCTCCGTCCTTCTCTTCCCCTGCTCATCTTCTCTCCTTCCTTTCTTTCCTCCCTCCTTCTCCCAGGTGATCCCCCCCCACCTAGAGGTTAGTCATGCCCCGAGCGCGTGAGAGCCGCTCCCCCCCTTCCCCGCCAGAGCTCCTGCACGTGATAGCCGGCAAAGGGAGCAAGAGGAGAAGCACGTGCGGCCACGTGTGTTAGGCGTGAGGGGGTCGAGGGAGGGCGGGGGTCAAATGAGGCCCTGGCAGACGTGCGATGAAGTATATGTGATTCGAGTATCATTTAGAGTATGTAGTTTTCTCTGTTTTCCGAGTGAGTGTGTTTTACATTCTGATGTGTGTACGTGTTTTCTGTGTACATCTGAGTCTGAATCTGTGTGTGTTTATAATTATGTGTGCCAATGTGTGCGCAAGTAGTTACATGCACAACTGGCGACTAGCGTGTACATGGTGTGATTTAGCCGGCTCACGTGTGCGGCCTTGTTGGTGCATACAGCCTCATATTTGCCAGCCGAGAATCTCTGCCAAATACGACGAGTTCACGAACAAACGACGTAAAACCACACAAATGTTAAAACACACACGCATACGGGTGCAGGTGCACTTTAAGGCATAGTACTTCTTAAGTTATATCTTGACAATGTTCGCTGATATGTGGGATCTGGTCACGCTGTTTCGCTCGAACACAAGGGGTGTGCAACGCACATGAGGCTGGACACGTACACGGAAATACGCCGCAGTCGAACATATAACTACATGTGTGTGTGTGTGTGTGTGTGTGTGTGTGTGTGTGTGTGTGTGTGTGTGTGTGTGTGTGTGTGTGTGTGTGTGTGTGTGTGTGTGTGTGTGTGTGTGTGTGTGTGAAAGAGAAAGAGAGAGAGAGAGAGAGAGAGAGAGAGAGAGAGAGAGAGAGAGAGAGAGAGAGAGAGAGAGAGAGAGAGAGAGAGAGAGAGAGAGAGAGAGAGAGAGAGAGAGAGAGAGCTCTGATATTATATATATATATATATATATATATATATATATATATATATATATATATATATATACATATATATATACATGTATATATATATATATATATATATATATATATATATATATATATATATATATATATATATATATATATATATATATATATATGTGTGTGTGTACAAAAAAGGTGGGAACCAAGAAACGTTGCTGTCGGTTGTAATGAGGCGAAAGATACCGTGGTTTGGTCCCGTCACCCGTAATCACAGTTCCCTAAGCCTTGCAAATATCATAATGCATGGCAGAGTACCTGGAAAAAGAGGCCGGGGAAGACCAAGGAAAACC